ATTTGTCTCCTCAGCATTCCCCTTCGCTGCTCACTGAAGAAAGATCTAGATCTACTTGTGACGTAACAAGATATAGACCTACTTGTGATGGAACAAGATGTAGACCTACTGGTGCAAAAATTGAAACTCAACGCGACATCTCCACCGTACCGTTGATTAGTAAAACAGGCAAAGTGTAATTAGGCACATGCTAGCTTTTTATTTGGTAATTGAATCAAGTGACGTTGTCTGATGTATTATATCGTGCTGGTGAATGCAGTCACATAATTCTAATTGTTAATCTCGTAGTCTAATGATCAAGGCCGATTTGATAATCTTGTAGTAGAAAAATTACAACAGATGTAATAATCTCCTTGTAAATTAAATGCAACAGATTTGATGTAACTAAATACTAAGGAAAATAAACCGGGAGTGATCTCCCCTAAACTTTCTCGAATATTCTTATATAAAACAACAGGGGATGGGAACTCGGGACATAGTTATGATTTTTAATCCATTTTAAATACTTAAACTTTTTAAAATAGAATAGAATCTCATAGAAAAAAGAATTGCGCACCAAGCGAACGCCAAATAAAGATGTTCATAATAGTGCGCTATATTATTAGTACTTTATAAATTTACATGCGTTTTTTGAGAAATCGGAAATAGTGTAAATTAGTACTTCCGGTCAACGGAAATTACTCAAAATTTGACAGAAGGTAGAGATATAGATCTTTTACGTACATGTGAAATTTCATTTATCTATCTGAAATAGTACTCAACTTATAGGCTTTTAAAAATTTAAAGTAGAAAAAGTACCACTTCCGGTTATCGGAAATCGCTCAAAAGTTGATACGGATCTACGATTTTGATAAATACTTATATATAAAATCTCATCAACCTAGCTGTAACGGTACTCAAGTTATCGAGTTTACACAAACACAGACAGACAGACACACATACACACACACACAGACATACGGACAAGATTTGCAAAATTATGTTTTTCCGTATCAGTGAGGTGTAAAACGATTACAAGACTTTCTCTATACTTCGTATATGCGAGAAAGTAAAAATGATGATTTCCTTACATAACATGGAGCACCTGTATAGTAATTAAATACACAAGTACTGAAACAAATCTTCCGGCATTTACAACCAGAATACATTCTAATGAACATTCAATTAACTCCAGCCAATTAAGTGCAGGTCGGACGTGTATAAAATCTGGAACAGTGACAGGACACAGGTGTGCTGGAACATGCGGGCATTCGGTGCTCGACTCCACCTGCTTTCATTAGCACAATTTTAATTTGAAGTTAATTTACAAGCCTCGTCAGACCGCATAACCCCTAACAAAGACAAAAGAGCTGCCCCTAACCCCTAAGACAGAACATTACCATAAACTCTAGCCGTGACAAAAGATCTTCCTTAAGATGGCACAGTACCATAACCCTAGCCAATAACTAGGATGTCCAAGTATAGAAACCAATGTACTTGTACCGCCAAAGTGCACTGTGCCTCTACCACTCACGTGCAGGTAAAAATAAAACAGCGACGTCTCAACAATAGTTTTTAAGAAAACGTGAGAAAACAATTTACGCACGCCATGGTAACTTGTTAAAAATTGATAAAACGTTTTAGCACGAGATTGCATCTAAAAATAGATTTAATGACTCAGTTTTTTTGGCCGGGTCACTATGTGTTAGCTTGGATAAAAGAAGCCAAATTTTTAGCGAATTTGGCTCGAAAAAAAATTCGATTAGCTTCTACTCTACTTGCTGTAATCAAACGCGAAAGTTCCACTTGAGTTATCAGCATTAGATCACCTGCCTCTGCCCTTTCTGTTTATTTGTGTGTGTAAGCAATGGATGTCTGATGTTGAGGAACAATTCCTAGATCTATTGCAGCCAGTTTGTGACCACTTAAGACAATCACGTCATCGATTAGCTCAACATATCAACGAATCTGGCAACATTAGATCTGCACAAGTGGCAGAAATTATTTCTATACAAAATTTGACCAAGCCAACTCAATCAGTTTAATTTTCTACGCACCAAACTACGAACACTAGATGGATGGTCTTAGGTACAATTAGATGAACAGCAAGGCTATTGAGGGGAAGTGGGCGGTGTCTCACAGCGGAGGAATTTAATTACATCGACAAGAGCCGAACGGGTTTGGTTTAGTAGTACTCGTTTATTTCATATCCGTTGTACGTTTTAAAAGCGGCTTAACATATTGTTTACAAACAAAGTTTCATAAAAACATGCTCCATTAATACAAGCATAAGTAGGAACATAATGGACAGGTGCTTCTGACATTAGTAAAAGGGGGGTAGTTTCGTTTTGTTTGAATGGTTTTTAATCTTTTGTTTACAGCTGCTATAAATCGTGTCATATTTTAATTTCTGATTTGACCGATTTGTTTAGGAATAGCGCGCCATTTTATGATGGGAGTTATGGCAGATGTTGGCGTTGTTTGAGTTGAGGGGGGGGGGACAACCAAGGTGGAAAGTAACGTTTGTGTAGTGGAGCTAGTCTACAGAAAGGAAATAATCATTGTTTGCCGAGTAAAGAAAATTATTCGGCACTTCAAGTTTGGCTGTCTTTACAGGAATCATTGTATCTGTTTACAAATTATATATTTTCACTTTTGTAAAGATAGATAATGAAACCGTTAAAAAATAAATAACACATGATTTACTGGAGGCTGATCGGAGACAAGCAGAAAGTCAAGTAGAGGCAAGCAGAAAGTCAAGTAGAGGCAAGCAGAAAGTCAAGTAGAGGCAAGCAGAGAGTCAGAGGCAACCAGAAATTCAAGTAGAGGCAAGCAGAAAGTCAAGTAGAGGCAAGCAGAAAGCCCAGTGAAGGCAAGCAGAAAAAAAAACTTGTACAAGACTCCTGGGGTCCGTAAATTTCCGACCTTAAGTCAGTGACGCCATTATTCTCCAACCCCTAAGCCACGTCTACAAATTACAATTGACATCAACAAGGTCTTACATTTCGCACTGGTAATTTATCTTCTTGATCTAGTTGTCTTTTGACAATATGCGATATGAACCGTTGTAGACTTGAACTATATGTTCATCTTCTGCAACAGTATGCGATATGAACAGATGTATCACCACGGTGGTGACAGGTACCTGCGACTGAGGAATGCACGCCCGTAAATCAGCGGGGCGGGGCAGATAAACCATCTGAACATGTTGTTGTAGTGATGGGATCTGAACATGTTGCTGTAGTGATGGGATCAGGCCATCTCTACAGGCATCAGGTGATGACGTAACACGTCCCACACGACCGGCAAGGTCAAGGTCGAGGGGGAGTTAGGGCAGACATTCCAGGAATCGTTGGAGGGTTTGTGTGGAGTCGTGGCTTTAAGTGGTTGCTAGTGGCTTGTTTTGGCCTATTGTGGCTGGTGAACGGCTTGAAACTAACAGAGATTACTTCAACTTAAAAACAAAACATACATAGTAGTAGCTTCTAAAAATCTATGACAATGGGACGTTTAACTTTTAATTGTTAGAACGTATTCAAATCTTTTAGCTCGAAGCAGACAAATTACCAAATACACGGGAGTATAAGCACGTTAGCACATTATAAAGATCATGCTGCTATTGGCACATTACAAAGATCATGCTGCTATTGGCACATTACAAAGATCATGCTGCTATTGACACAATAAAACGGGTGAATAGCTTCTGTACACTCAGCTTTATGTTATTTTATCCAAGTTCCTGACAACATCACGCAACACGCAGGTTTCAATTTACCGTATACTATTTGCACAAATAGCACACTCGATTTAATTTACCGTATGCTATTTGCACAAATCAGACGCTTGATCGAATTTACCATTCATATACTATTTTTCACAAATACGACATTTAATTAAGGCTACATCAATTCACCTTTGATCGTGATATCATCAAACAAAAGGTATATCTAGTTGTCTTCATAGAAACTAGTTAAAAGGGTAACCATGGAAACAACAGGTTCTATGGTTGGTTCCAGGTATAAACCAACAACAAAAAACAACCGACATCACCTTTCACAAACAAGAATTACTAACAAGACTGTTGTGTATTCGCGAAACACGTTTTTTAACTTTACTTTAAACGTGTTATTTTTTTAAAGCAACAGTTATTTTAAGCGTGAGTAGCACATCGTCTCCATATATCTTCTCATGAGCAGCTGCTCAATCTTCTGCCATCATGTTGGTTGTAGAGGTAGAAGACGGATTTCAGTTGTAGGTTGGTAAATGTTGTCTACTTTGGAAAACGTTGTCTAGATTGGTAAACGTTGTCTACTTTGGAAAACGTTGTCTAGATTGGTAAACGTTGTCTAGATTGGTAACCGTTGTCATCTCAGAATATTGTTAGTGAATTAAACACATCGAACGTCTGTTGGGTCGTCCAGTTGGTGACCTCACAGTTGGTGATCACCGAGTAGGTTATCTCACAGGTGGTGATCTGACAGTTGGTGATCACCGAGTAGGTCATCTCCCACTTACCAATCGCCCAGTTGATGAGTATCCCCCCCCTCACCCCTCGTGTTATGTAGTTAAATTATGTTTGAGGCACACAGGTTCGATAGAGATACATGGGTTGTTCCATAAGGGACGATGGGAGGGAGAGCAAGAAGACAGGGATCAAGATGTATAGAGAAATATGGAGAAAGGAAGGGAGACTAGGTGGGGATAGAGGTAGACAGTGGAGTAGAGAGAAGAAACCCAAGAACTCAGTGCGGGTGGAGTGAGGTATATAGAACAACTAACTTAGTGCGGGTGGAGTGTGGTAGAGAGAACAACTCACTTAGTGCGGGTGGAGTGTGGTAGAGAGATAGAACAACTCACTTAGTGCGGGTGGAGTGTGGTAGAGAGATAGAACAACTCACTTAGTGCGGGTGGAGTGTGGTAGAGAGATAGAACAACTCACTTAGTGCGGGTGGAGTGTGGTAGAGAGATAGAACAACTCACTTAGTGCGGGTGGAGTGTGGTAGAGAGATAGAACAACTCACTTAGTGCGGGTGGAGTGTGTGTCGCTGAGTCTGGACCACTCCTGCAGTAGCTGCTCCATCTGGGATCTGATGCCAGCCGCCTCCTCTTGGTTGGCCTGCAGCATGACGTCATCTTTCTGGGACTCCATCTCGGTCAGGTTCTCCTGGACATCCCAAACCTTCTGCTCCATGCCCTGGAACAATCGTAGGTTTGATATAGTAGGTTTATGACGGTAGGTTTATTTTTGTAGGTTTATAGTTGTAGGTTTAATATAGCAGATTTATAACGGTCTGTTTATAATTGTAGGCTTAATATTGTAGACTTAATATTGTAGACTTATTATGGTAGGTTAATTATGGTAGGTTTATTAGTGTAGGTTTATTAGTGTAGGTTTATTAGTGTAGGTTTATTAGTGTAGGTTTATTAGTGTAGGTTTATTAGTGTTGGTTTATTAGTGTAAGTTTATTTTGGTAAGTTTATTATTGTAGGTTTTTTGTTGTAGATTTATTGTTGTAGGTTTATCTTTGCAGATTTAATTTATTACACCAATCTATGAGGTTGATCACGGTCAAATCACAAGCAGGAAATTCACCAAAGACGTAAATTAACTGAATTCACTATCATTAGGGTTTGGCTGAAAAATGAACAAACTCTTAAGATTAAGTGGACGGGGGGGGGGGGGGGATGGATAGTTTTGGCATTGAAACTAAGACCATTTAATTGTTTTTAAGATTAAAAGGTAAGTAAAATACACCCTGCCAGTTCGTTTTTTTTTCAACCAGGCTAATGTATAGGCTACAGCTCTAATAGGTATCTCTTTCTGTTGTTTTAGTACACGTAAAGATATATTGATTAGAATTTAGAATACTGAAGAGTTCAAATCTCATGTCATGTGACCTGTGGTAGGACAAGTACAGGGTACCAAGGGTCGGGTACAGTTATTAGTTGCCCCAGTGACCTATTGACCTCTCACCTTCATCTTGACGTCATAGGCCAGTCTGCCCGTCTCCTCCACCACCACGGCGTCGTCCAGCTCCATGCTTGACCGCAGCTCGCACATCTGGGCCGTGAGCCGCCGGAGGGCCTGCAGGTACTGGGCCGGCGTGTGGGCCAGTGTGGTGGTCCTGGTGACGCTGGTGGAGACCACATTGTACGTGGTCCGGCTGATGACGCTGTCCGAGGGTGACGCGTGGCCGTTGGTCGACGCCGCTGTCGTCACGGTCGTCTCCTTCGTCAGGGGCGTCAGGATGGGCGAGGGCGGAGGGGTGCTGGCCAGCCGAGTGGTGAGGGCGCGGAATCTTTCATCGAGGGGCGCGAGGTCTGTGGAGGCGCCCGCCTTGCTGCTGTCTGGCAGGCTGTGACTCTGTGATTTGAGGGCGGTCAGGTCTTTGCCGCGTCGCTTGACTTCATCTTCTAGCACCTGGGGACGGAGATGGAAACATGAGTTATGGCATGGGTGGGGCGATGCTCAGGTAACAGTTCAGTTCAAGTCCAATTTCTTACAGACGAGTTGCAGTACTCCCCCCCCCCCCCCCCCCCAAAAAAAAATAAAAAAATAAAAATAAAATTAAAAAATAAAAATCATTAGTATTTTGCGTGTTTAAAGTAAATGGGACCCATTCATATAGTTTGCCTTAGAACAAGTCCTCGCAACCATGTATGTTAGTCACACGTGAAAATCGATATGTATTAGCAACTTTTAGATTTACCAACATTACCAACAACATTACCAAAATATTACTGTATAACGTAATGTGACTTTACACAGTAATGTTCATGCACTCTTTTCATTTAGCAGTGTGATGGGAATAACTCTAAGTTGAAGTAACACAGTGTTTCTTTCAGGCATCTCTACCGCCCCCAACCCGAACGAAGTGGAATTTGTAAAGAAAATATTTAATTTTACCAGTGTCCGACCCCCACCCACAGAGAAAAAAGTCTAAAAGAAACACTATGAATAAAGATGGATCACGAGCGAGGCACACTGCCTGACGAGAGAGGGACACAATCTGACGGCGGAAGGACACATAATCTGACAAGACCGAGGGACACAGTCTAACGAGAGCGAGGGACACACACATCTATTCCCGACCTGTGGCGTCATTTATGGGGCTGCTACACCTGGATACGATCATAAACAAAGGGTAGACAACGATCTTCGTTGACGTTTCAACAACAGCTGAAATCACAGCAGCTGATGTGCTCACCTAGACAAACGATGAAGCGATGCCTGGAACAATCTGCCACCATAGTGTTGATAAATTTAACAATCTGCCACCATAGTGCTGATAAATTTAACAATCTGCCAGTTCACAGCGGATAGATTTAACACTAAGTAAAACCTAACGTTAACTATGTCGGAAACTAAACCCGCATTTTAGTCTTTCTCAACATCGTACTGCGCTATAAATAGAGCATCTAATTTCAATGATCAAAGCTTTATCTTAACGCAAGCTAATTATTCCACCGAGTCTGTCTACATACATGAAGGCACGTACACCGTGTGACGATGTACAGAAAGTTAATGAGGTTCATTACATACAACAATTATTATAGGGGCAGTCTCATGGCATTGCTAGATTGTAATGTTTAGAGCCAACATTTGGAATGTAATGTTTTAGATGAACATTTGGAATGTAATGTTTTGGATGAACATTTGGAATGTAATGTTTTGGGTGAACATTAGGAATGTAAAGTTTAGGGCGAACATTAGGAATGTAATGTTTGGGGTGAATATTTGGAATGTAATGTTTTGTATAAACATTTGGAATGTAATGTTTGGATGAACATTTGAAATATATTGTTTAAAAATGACGAACTGTTGGAATGTAAAGTTTAGGATGACGAACTGTTGGAATATATTGTTTAAAATGACGAACTGTTGGAATGTGAAGTTTAGGATGGCGAACTGTTGGAATATATTGTTTAAAATGACGAACTGTTGGAATGTGAAGTTTAGGATGGCGAACTGTTGGAATATATTGTTTAAAATGACGAACTGTTGGAATGTGAAGTTTAGGGTGACGAACTGTTGGAATGTGAAGTTTAGATGACGAACTATTGGAATGTGAAGTTTAGGATGACGAACTGTTGGAATGCACTGTCAAGCTGTAGGTATTTACACTAACAAACCCCCAAACATTTACTCTCGAAGACAAGTGTGTACCGCAGGCGGATGACGTCACAAGATGGAGCAGATGACTATTTTTAAACTGTCACAAGTTATCAAGTCACGTGGTCTGAGAGACTCACCCCTCGGTGTGTGGGGTACTGAGGGGGGGGGGGGGGGGTAGTGGCAGCCTAAGTGGTGCTAAGTCAAGGGGTGGCAGTCGTGTTCGTTGTTGTTGTTGTGGTTGTCGTTGCTGTTGTCAGTATTGATACCCTAACCTAACCCTAATGCTATTCCCGGTCTGGATCTAGGTCATTACCACCCCCCTCCCGGTTAAATTACCCCACTCCTCTTATATAACTAAATCTATCACTATGCTTCTCCCTATCCTTATCTTAAAACCTCTACCTAACTTATCATTAACTTATCTATTTTCCTTATCTATTTCTAAATGACAGGGGTTATGTTCGACTAGTCTTTTTTTGTGGTGGTGTGTGTGTGTGGGTGGAAGGGCAATAACGGAGGGGGGATGACATGGGGTACCCGAGGGGGAGCTCACCCCTGACCTTGACCCTGACAGAAGCCCGGCAGTAAAGTAAAAGACATCTACTGTATTGCCGTGTCAGAGCCACTCTATGAACCGTCTCCTCTGACACTGTCTACAGATTTAATTCATGGCCAGATAACCCAGCTATTCCTATCTCATACCATTGTCCTGACCTTAACAATGAAGCAGGGGCAGTAATACAATACTATGTTGTACTCTTTGCATGTGTTTTATAAGAAATTTATTTCCCCCTTGTTGGTTGCTTCCCCTGAACAACGCAATGACCACAAGAGGCGAAGGGTAGATAACTCGACTCAGCGACTCAAGACTCCCCCTATACGCTGTAGCCTGCACGTAAACACGTCATCTCGCCATCAAACAATACAGATAGAGTGATCTCCCATACCGTGGATGACGCAATACGGCTCACAAATACAAACTTTTTTTTTTCTCTCCCTGACCTTTCCGACCTCCAGCTAAGTGAACAAACGTTGGTATGACGTGTACACTTCTCTGCCAATAAACGTACACTACTGCAGCTCACCAAACACGCGCATCAGTACTCACGTTTTATAGACGCTCATCTCGATATATACGAATAGAGGAGATTCGAACGGGGGGGGGGGGGGAGATTTGATAAGGTGAGACTCGTGGATGTAGGTCCATCGACATCAAAGGACATCGGGCGCATGCTCTTTGCCTCATAAACAAATCAAGCCGGCAATCAGCCGGTAAACACGGCTTTTTTTCCAGACCCCACTCACAAACATACGTGAAATGGAGCATGCGAATGGTTCAAACTGCCGGGATGCAAAAATAATCACAAGCGTCGGGAGCAGGGCAGGCCTCTTGCATCAAACAGTCTCGGTGACTTGTATGGGGGGGGGGAAGGGATGTCTTGCATCAAACAGTGGCTAAGACTTGTTGTATAAGGCAAATGTCATGAAAAAGCAGCAGAAACATGTTTGATAAGGGAAATGTCTACCGTCAAACTGCGGCAAAGACTTGTTGTATGGGGGAAATGTCTCCCATCATTCAAGCGATCAGACTTTCCACACAGACTCAAGTCTTTTTGTGTTTTTATTAACTTTTTTTACTTTATGTCTATAACGCAAGGGGAATAAACCCAGTCCAAAATTTTACAATATAGACCAGCGATGGCCCGCGGTTATGTACCTTGCAAATCTGGGTCTGCAAATTTGAGAAAGTTAATGATAAATATGTGACATTCACTGCAAGATATCGTTTTAACGAAAAAGAAAAAAACCCGGGAAATTGCCATCCGAATCTTAAAAATAGGAAGATAAGGTTCTTATGACCGCCGATAAAAGGAAAATTCATTACCCGCTCGCTAACAAGGTATTTATTTCTAATGTAGTTATCCTAGTGATTTCCCTTGGAGAATCAGGAGGAGATTACCCCGTTTCTCCCCACACAAGCGGTATAAGAAACGTACAATAAAAACAGGATCGTCGGTTGTAGATTAGATTGAGGCTCTAGTACCGTCATCACTGCGCACGCACCGTGCGAACACACATTTGCACATCTATAAGACGCGCAGTCAAGGTAATAAAGTGCCGGCAACAAAAATGTCCTAAATCACGGGACACGTCGTTACGTCATTTAGAAGGTACGATTACAGATGTAAGGATACAGGCAGCGTAGTAATACAGGGCGCTATTTTTTTGTGCTATCTCGTTTAATAACCTATCTCATTCTGTAATTCTGGGAGAACAATGGAATGTATGGGTGCGGTGACGTGCGATAGAGATTTGACAGAACATTATTTCTACGCACTCCGCTACAGCTGAGCTACGTTGCCGTTACAAGGTATAAGGACAGTTCATTGTTCTTTGGCTAATGTTTACTTGCACAGATAATGCAATAGTTGACTCGTTCATCTTGCACCGATAACGACAAAGTTGACTTGTTAATCTTGCAGAGATAATGCAAAAGTTTTCCCTTGTTCATTTGGGACCAATAATTCAAAAGTTGACTTGTTCGTTTGGGACCAATAATTCAAAAGTTGACTTGTTCATTTGGGACCAATAATTCAAAAGTTGACTTGTTCACATTACACATAAACTTGCGAAGGTATCTCACATCACAAATTTTTCTAGAACCACACGCCAACCCTAAACACAACCAGGAGCGGCACAAGCAAATTTCTCTACAACCACACGCCAACCCGTGCAACCAGGGACGCCCCATGTAATCGCATCTCAAACTCCCGCCCGTCATAGATCACGTCAGATACCCCGTGGGGTAACTAACACTGATGCATGTTTGAATCACAACCAATTAACCCGCGCACCCGTGCATTATTCCAACACCAAACATCACATTTTAAGACGGTATGAAACCCGGCAACATTATTAACCCACATCTTATCTAGGTACATCATCACCTTCCACCTTTTTCCCAACTAACAATACCCCCCCCCCCCACCCCCGTCACAGAACGTACTTAAGACGATGGGGGACAGGATTTATCTACAGCCCCAGGGCATTAGTTGTAATTGTATTTATACCTTTCAGGCAGCTGTACAATGCGCCTGTCGCTCTCAGAACTGTGCGCAGGCACCACAGGATTAGTCTGGCATCTACCACGTGTCGTCAATGGCGACCCCTCCCACAGTCTGGTAGGGTGGGGGACCCCTTCTACAGGTCTGGTCGTTTATATTTGTGTGAGGGTGGGGGACCCCTTCTACACAGTCCTACCTTTTGTAACAGTGAGAAGACCCCAACACAACACCGAAGTCTTT